TCTCCACCCATATCCCTTGCATGAAGTAATTCCTCCTAAATTCTCTTTTTGATCCCCTATCTTATACTGGTCTCCCCTGGTTATGGACTCCCCAAGTAGTGGACTCACCTACTTATGCCAACTTTATTGAACCTTTTCAGAATTTTAAACACCTCTATTGGGTTCCCTCAAACATGTCTCTTCTCTAGGGGTAAAAGGCCTAACTTGTTTAATCTCTCCTGACATTAGTAACCTGCCAGCCCTGGTTTCATCCAGGTAAACCTGTGCTGTACTGTTTCCATTGTTGGAATTGTATATCCCTCTTATAGTATGGAGATTAGAATTGGACACAATACTCCAAATGTGGTTTAACTAAGGTTTTGCATAAAGTCAACATCACCGTCTCAATTTTATATTCTATCCTTCTAGATATAAAGACCAAGACCCCATTGACATTTTTTTAAAAATAATCCTACCTTCCTATGTAGATATTTTTAGAGATTTGTGCATCTGGTAACTGAATGAAGTTTAATAAAGATAAATATAAGACACTACAAATAGGAATTAAAATAGGAAACACACGGGTGGATTGATAGGGGGTTAGGAGGTCACAGAGGTAGGGTGGGGCGAGGCCATGGAAGGCTTTGTAGGTGAGGACCAGGATCTTGAACTGGATCCTCTGAAGGATAGGGAGCCAATGGAGTCGGGCGAGAATGGGGGAGATGGGATCACGGAGTTTGGTGCGGGAGAGGACATGGGCTGCAGAGTTCTGGATTATCTGCAGCCTGTGGAGGGAGAAGTTGGGAAGGCCGACAAGCAGGACATTTGCATACTCGAACCTGGAGGCAATGAAGGCACGAACAAGAGTTTCAGCGTCCTGAGGAGTGAGGTAATGGCGGAGTCGGGCGATGTTACAGAGGTGAGGGAAGGCAGAGCGGGTCATGGCTTTGATGTGGGGAAGAAAAGACAGTTACGGGTCGAACAAGACACCTAGGTTCCTAACTGGCTTGGTGAGTTGTAGTGTGTAACCATGGAGGTTGATGCTGCCAGAGCCTGAAGGCAGCAATAAACAAGGCAAACAGGATGCTGCTGTTAACCAAGCAAACTAAAGGCTTAAAAGATAGTATGGTTCTAGCTGGACAAGCAGCAGAAAGCTTACCAGATAATGCTCTCTGTGGCGCATTGTGCGATTTTAGCTGGTTTGTTAACGTCAAGGCTAAACCCTCTCACTCCTCGTCCTCCTGGATCTCTCTGCCGCATTTTGACAGTCGACCACGCCATTCTCCTCCACCACCTCGCCTCTCTAATCCACCTTAGTGGGACCACACTCACATGGTTTGAGTCCTACTTAACCAACCGCCTCCACTTCATCTCGGCAAATGGTTTCTCCTCCAGGCCCTGCCGGTCACCAGCAGGGTACCCCAGGGATCCATCCTTGGCCCCCTTCTTTTCCTTATCTATATGCTCCCTCTGGGTGATGTGATCCCCAGATAAGGGGTCAACTTCCACACATATGCGGATGACACACAAATCTACTTTGCCTCCTCCAGCATCGATGTTCTATCAGCTTGTCTGGCAGACATCAGGGCCTGGATGAGTGCTAACTTCCTGCAGCTGAATGTGGACAAGACAGAAGCCATACATACTCCTTGGCTCCCATCAATGTCTTCATTTCTGCGAATCTAAACTCCTCAACCTCCCTGGGCTCTCCCTCAGACTCACTGAACCAGTGCACAATCTAGGCGTCCAGTTCATCCTCCAGCTGTCCTTCCTCCCCCACATCCAGTCCCTGACCAGGACCTCCTTCCTCCACCACCACCACATTGCCTGTCTCTGACCGTACCTCACCCCAAATGCAGCCGAAACCCTCGTGCATGTGTTTGTCACCTCCCGCCTGGATTACTCAAATGCTCTCCTCGCCGGTCTCCCCAGCTGCACTATGCAAAAACTCCAGCTCATTCAGAACTCTGCCGCCCACATACTGACCCGGAACAAACTCCGTACCCACATCTCACCACTTCTGGCCAGGCTTCACTGGCTCCCCATCACCAAACGGATCGACTTCAAGATCCTCACACTCGTGTTCAAATCCATTCACTCCCTGGCACCTCCCTACCTCTCCTCACTCCCCAATCCATCACCCGGTCCCTCTGCTTCACTGGCACCGGCATCCTGCTCGTCCCTCGCACCCTCCGCCCCACCACTGGAGGTCGCGCTTTCAGCCGCTACGCCCCAAAACTCTGGAACACTCTCCTTCAATCCCTCTGCCTTGCCCCCTCTCTCCCCTTTTTCAAGTCCCATCTGAAAACCTTCCTCCTCTTAAAATGTAGATGCTGTAGATATAAACAAGTATTAAAACAGAAGTGAAATTCTATTAAATGTGCTGGCAACCTTGTGATTAATAAAACGAGTAGAACAGGCTTGATGGCCTGAATGGTCCTATAATGTACTCCGCTAACATAATGTAAAAATCTACTCCAGCTGTTCTTATATTGGAAGCGTTGTACAAGCATTTAAAGTATCTTACAGAAGCCATCAGTTGAAATCATTGTACATTCAATGATTTGGTGCATTGGGCAAGTTGTCACAATAACAGTTTGGATTGGTTTAGGGCCTTCCGATACCATCCTCCCATCACTGCATCAAGCTGTTTTTTGATTGAGTCCAGTTCTTAACCACCCTTTCTGGTAACCTGTTCCAGTCATTAATGATCCTCTGGGTAATAATAATAATAATAATAATAATCCTTGCATTTGATATAGCGCTTTTCACGTCGGGAGGACGTCCCAAAGCGCTTCACAGAACACACTGTAAAGTGAATTGACTGTATATTTGTGGGCGAACGCGGCAGCCAATTGCGCACAGCAATGTCCCACAAACAGTCGTAGATTGAAAATGACCAATTTATTATTATTTTGTTTTTTTGGAGGGATTATTATTAGGCGTGTGGAGTAAGGAAACTTGCCCTAGGTTTCGCCCTGACTGGAATTGAACTCAGGTCTCTCACTTAAAAGAAAAGTAAAGAAAAGGTTTTGGATATCTATCCTGAAATTACCTTTTGCAACTCTAAACATATGTTCTCTTATTCTAGTCTTGATTCATCCGAAAGTATTGATCTTGGTTTATTTTTCTATCCCATTTAAAACTTTATACACCACCAAGCGGTTCCCTCTGAGACATCTTCTCTCAAGACTGAGGAGCCCTGGTTTGTCCCATTGTTGTACACAATTGCACTGCAGTTAACAAAACCTCTTTTCATTATTAAAATTGATAATTAGTTGCAATATTCTATTTTTCACTGTCAATATTATTTAGTCCTTAGGATTGGCAACCTGTCTCATTCTCCCTCAAATTTTGAACAACTGAGGGCCTTAATTAACTGCTATAGTACATTCTTTCTGGGTTTATACCACTGACAGCCAACAAAATATTTTTTGATTGAATATTTCTTGATTTATGGCTATAAACCTATGCTATTTTGTTATTTCTACAATTATTTTGTTGGCCACCAAAAAGGGTTGGTTGACCTGTGTCTTTTGTAATGAATTGTTGTGAAAAATAGCACCTGAAAACAAATCACAGTGCTCCTTAGTCTACCTTAAACAGCTGTTTCACAGCATATTTGTTGTATTATAAACACAGCAGGTGTCAGTCAGGGACTGCTTGGGAATGGTCCTTTAATAGTTCAAGGAAACATTAACAAGGCATTACCTCGGCTAATGGGATTAGAAATAGAAGGTATAAATTGGACTTTCCTTAGGAACGGAAAGTATTGAAATCAGAGTTGCCAGCACTATTCACTTCAATGGTAGAGGCGATATCACTTTGCTTCCAGCAGTGTAAATCAGAGACATGTTAGAATTTGAAATGTTATTACCTGAGAAGTCAGTGAAGCTATTTGTTGGTGCAATACTGCCACCTTACTGTCTGAAGTGCTCTATGGCAAGATACTACTCAACGGTGTGTCAGTAAAAATGCACTGTAGCATAATATGGACAAAGATTGAATCAGATACTATACTTTGGTTCTTTGTCATTTTTTATTATAGTCATTTGTCTAAATTGGCTCAATTGCCTAGGAATGGTGGGAGATTAATATGGCATTGATATCATTAATGCTCAATTCCCTATTCGTTGCACATTTGGTTGTTATGTGAAAACATTTTCACGACCTGCTAAGATTATAAAAGCTCTCCCCTCAGCCTGTCACTTTGAGGTTAAGACACAGCACTCATCTGTCAATTAACTTAGCACATGGGTTTGATGACAACAAAGCAGGACCAGTCTGTTGTGCAGTCCTAACAGGAGTAATGGGGCTGCCTGATCTCTGCTATCCCAAATAAATCCTTCAAACATGCTGATAGCTCAAATCTCTCCTTAGTATCTTATCTGAACAGGGGACCAATGAAACACTTTACTTGGCCATAAACAAAGATTATTTTACCCCTAGATACCTGCAGTTTGTCATGATTGCATATAAAGTGAGGAAGCTCACAGCCCTGACTGTCTTTAATTGAATGTCACATACACAGCATTAACAGGCAGTCAGAAATAAACAATAACCGTCACAAAGAGTTATGGCTCTGGAACTCCCTTCCTCACTCCCTTTGCCTCGCCCCCTCTTTCTATTTTCAGGTCTCGGCTGAAGACCTTTCTTTTCGACCGCGCCTTTGGTCACCTTCCTCCCCCCTCCCCCTGGCTCAGCCCCGGGATCCGTTGCTGTGAAGCGCTTTGAAATGCCGTCCAGAGTGAAGGGCACTATATAAATCCAAGCTGTTGTTGTTGTAGTTACATATCTTATATTATTACAACGATGATCAGTAAGATATTTTTACTGTATACTTTTAAATGTTTAACATTGGAGTGGAGCAGAGAAAAATGTCTGGGCGACCATGCATAGGATATCTATGGGTTCAACATTTAAGACCGTCAAACAATTTTATTTGTTTGAAATATTGAAAATTCACAATATTGAAATTAAACCGCGATTTGAGGACTGGTGTGAAAACACAAGAAAAAATATTTTGCAGAAAAGATGGTTTATTAGGAAGTAAAGTGCTTGATATAACAGGCCCATGACCTGCACAATCAATAATCAAAGGAGGTGTACACTATACCTACTAAAAAGATAAACGTTGTACCTAACACAATTTTAAAAACTGTACAGTTAAAGTCAGATACATGATTTAGATATAAATGCAGAAAATATACAGAATCCTGATTTGATATATAAAACTGATTAGATTTTCTGCATTGGCACATGGGGTGTCAAATAACATGGATATTCCATGAACAATGCACTTCAAAATGAAGCTTGTTAAAGTTCTGCACCTCACACATTAATAAAGTGTCATTTGGTTCATAAAACTGTGTGATGCATTAATACGTACAATTAAATGCTTTTGTTGCATTCGGCACATGTTAAAACTAAGCAATCAGCAAGATTTGGAAAAATATTCAGAGAATGAGGGATATTTTCCAAAAAGATGTTTCATTTGGCAAAGGCACTTTCCTTTTTCTATTTGGAAATGAACATTTTATTCTAAACCTGATTTTGAATTAAGTGGTTAAACTATATAAATGTCCACTCATAGTTGTTGTTTACATTCTCACTTATACCACTTCTGTGAAAACAACATTCAACAAAGGTTTCAATGTAAACTATCCATTCGAACATCGGGTAAGATGATTAAATAGATTTTTCACTTTCCAAAACAGAGTTCAACATGAAAAACTACTAATGGTCTCATGTTGCGAGAAGGAATGTCAAGACAAAATGGCGCTAAGAATGCATACAGCCTGGGAAACCTATTAGATTATATACTTGGGTTGTAATGTTTGGTTGCAATTGCTTAACAAGATTAATAAATGTTAGAATCTAGTGCAAGAAATCAAATGTGCTTATGAACCATTCTGCAGGAAAGCAGTTACCTCGGTTCAGGTTATCAGCTTACAAAAAGTTTTGAAACCATAATGTAAATTCATTATTGGGAAATATTAGGTAGAATTGTAGAAATATATAGGCCCAGTACTCAACTGGATACATTTTCTGGATACCTGAACTAACTTTCATAAACAAATAGCTAAAAAGCACGACATGGTAACTCATAAGAAGACACTATCATCCACTAATCATCGTGAGATTTAGTAGTTACTGATCACAGAACATCAACTATAACTCCAGGAGAACAGTAGCTGAACTAGGAACAAGTGGATGATTAATAAATTATTGCATGAATTATTTGGGTTTTTAAGGTTATTGGTAGGGAATCACAATTTTACTAGTTTCTGAGAGATCAATACTCTACCCTATACATAACCTTCATCTGTTGAGGAAAAAATATTTTGTACTGCTGTGAAAAAGATGAATTATCCTTTGATAAAACCTCTGAAAGGCCATTTGACGAATGGGGGTCACTGACAAATATATAATCTGAACTGTTTTTTTTCAAATTCCCATTCAAAAGATTTAATATTTCTAATCCCATTGTTTTCAGGCCTCACTTGTCGCCAAAGAAATCCTCATCGAAGTTAAGGTTACATTTGAGATCAGGTTAAAAAACAATGCAGCAGCAAAACCAACATCGATTAAAACCCAGGCATGCAGAAGTGCAACATATTCACTAGCAGGTAGATGGATGGAAGAAAGATATATCTGAATATCATACAAATTGGTTTCCTACAGAAAATGTATTTAGAACACACTGGAATATTTTGCAGATATTCAAAATCTTCTCTTAACAGGGACTGAAGGATCTGGCTTTTGTTTATGTCATTTAGTTTTGAACTCCTTAATGGAATGTGCACTATACAGACAATTTCATCAATCCCAGGGGTGTTCCAAGGCAAACTTTACAAAATTCACATTTAACAATACTGCTTATGCAATTCATCAAAACAGTTTGTGGAAGCTGTGCTTGTTATTTACTAACTCACAACTGGATGCAGAATCTGTTTTAATAAATGTCTAAATACTGTTGCATTGTCAAACTGAACTAACAATATAAAGAAGCACTGGAGGAAATCTTCCATTCACGTCAAGCACTCTCAACGCTAAACATGACTGCCTCCATGACCAGCAGCATCAAGTCCTTCTGTGGACTGAGAGGAGGAAGGGCGTGAGCTGCAGGAACGAGATTGCCAATTCATTCCCAGGGGTGTTCCAAGATGTTGACTCAACTGTGACACAGTATCATCCGATTCCCAGCGCTCCAGCTCCTCTCGGACTAAACGCTCCATTTGTTCCCTATGGATATCATTGTCACGACCAGATCGTTCATCCTGCAGGTCAAGCAGAAGTTAGTTCACTTTTTTCAGGTTTTTGTGTTTGGATACTTGCGATTGCTGCCCAATAGTAGCAGTATCCAATGAGATTGTGATGTAGAACATATGAGACATTGAAACATTGAGCCATAAATCCAGCGCTTTGGGACGTCCTCCCGACGTGAAAGGCGCTATACAAATGTAATTTTGTTATTGTTGCTTCTGCGCTCTTATCACTATATATTAAGCTCTCTGGGATGCTACCCCACGTGATTTGGCAATTTGGCAATTTGGTACTCTACACTGTGTAAGTCCTGCAGCTCAGTGGTTAGCGCACTCGCCACGCAAGCGAGAGACCCGTGTTCAATTCCCGGCAGAGCAAAATGTTGGGCAAGTTTCCTTACTCCACATGCCTCTGTTTACCTAGCAGTAAGTAGGAACCCGGTTATTAATCGATTGGCGGTTCAGTTTTCTGTGGAGTAATAATTCCTTCCAAAACAATAAATTGTTCCCTTCAATCCACGACTGTTTGTGGGACACTGTTGTGCGTAATTGGCTGCCGCATTTCGCTTACAAAATATAGTCAATTTACTTTACGGAATATTCTGTGAAGCACTTTTGAGATGTCTCAAAGACGTGATAAGGCGCTATATCAAATACAAGGATCATTATTATAACTGCAAGTAGTTGTTGTTATGCCAAATTATAATTAAAATAATCTTTTATAAATAACAATTTGTAAAAATTCCATTCTTCAGTCAACCTTCGCCAACTGCCCCCACTACTAGGAAGCAAAATCTACTGTCTAGCCTGGACCATCTAGTCAGATTTCCCTCCCATGCTGGGAGTCGGAACAGCCTGGGAAGCATTCTCCAGCTTGGTGGACCTTGGATTGGGAGCTGTAAATTAGGAATATCCAATGTCCTTCACGCTGTGGTATTATTAGCCTTCCAATGTTCAGTGCCACAGGGGGTTATGCAAGTAATTAGATTCTTCAACGGGTTTACTCCAGTCATATAGAAAAATTGGACAGTTCTTACATTCTAGGGACTATCCATCCACTAAGTTGAAAGTGAAGGAATTTCACCTACCAAAATCCATGAAACCGAACTTACCTCTGTAACACCATCCAGAAGTCTGCCCAACACATCTCTCCTCTTCAGCTTAGCTCTCTCCATCGCTTCTAGCTTCACAATGACTGCATCAATTTTTGACACTATGCTCCCAATGGAATGCTCCATACGATCCACACGCCTCACCAATCTTAAATAGGAGAAACAATATCAATGGATTATTTTTAAAAAAATAACTTTCTTCACCTGATTGACTTGATACTTAAGGGGGAGGTAGTAGTCAGCTGAACGTGCACTGACTGCATCGACCTCACTGCACAAAAAGAATGGCCGCTTGGAAGACATACCAGAAGGTTTTCTGCCCCAGTGGATTTTACTGAGCAGCTTCTCCGTTTTTTTTTCTAGTCAGCCGGGTGTCTGACACATTCGGAACCCATCATCATGATTAGAGTATCCAAACCAAACTGGGAGCTCCATGCATCTCACAATACATGGAAATTCCTGTGTATTGGAGTGGAATGTACACTCTCCCTTAAGGGACACATCCTGCTTACCTAATTCCAGTATTAGGCCCAGTTTGGCAAGGTTTGGGGACCTCGGTGTGTGTTGAGGTACTTCTGGAGTTTAACCAAAACCACAAAGCTTGCCATTGCACTTCAGCTCCAAAGAGAACCACCCCCCACCCCACCCCTCCCATACTGGGTTTTCAAGGGAGGACCCTGAGGGGCACTGAAGCAGAAGTAAGGTATTGAACAACTTACACTTGAAATTCTTCATAGGTCACACCACTGGAGCTGCTACCCCGTCTCCTTGAGCTGTGACCACTGTCCTCATCATCCTCATCCTCAGAATCATCCAGGCTCCTTGGAAAGCCTCTCCCACTAGTTGATCGAGGCAATGAGCTCCTATCAAGGTCTAGGTCATCCTGTGAAATAGATTTCAAGTATTTCTAGGATAGTCTGTGTAGTGAAACCCTTCATAATGGCTGAATATGTACATAGCAAGATATAGGTTTGAGTCCCCAAAACCACTCCCAGGGTAGTCTAAGTAGTTTCAGAAGTAAAGACTATATGAGAAAGTGGATTAAAAACTGTATGTTCTTTATAATTGGTGCACATCTGTTAAACCTTCTACCCAACAGCTTAGAAGACATTCAGTCAAAATGAACAATACGTTGGAATAAGACAATCTTTAAAGTGGTGGTTCTGCAGGCGAAAAGTGCATCTATACTGTAAGGGATTTCTGTATGGCACAAGGTTGGTGTTCATAATGTACAAAATTGCACTGTATTATAGCACAGGTTACTTCTTCATAGGACTGGTTCATTTATAACAGAAATGGGGTGTGGGCCCCAGTCACTCTGCATGTGTACAGCCAGCTCACTTCCCACATGCCAACCTGCTCCTGTGCTTTAGATGGTCAACTTGTGGGTCAATAGACCTCCACCTAAGTCACTTCCTGGACACTGCACATACCAAGTGCACAAGAAATTACATCAATGGAGACTTGATGACCCAGAAGCTGCCATTTTGGCTTCCGGTATGCAAATCCCAGTGAAAACAGCTATTGTGATCTCGTTATGAGGTGGATTGGGATATTAATGGACCTCAACTACCACCTTATAACAAGGCTCCACTGTAATACGTTGTCAGAAAAAGAACAAAGAAAGGAAATACATTTCTTAATGATGTTGCAGAATAGAGATCTTGGGACCTGATTGGGACCTTGCCCTGCCCCTTGTAATTCAAATTGATAAAGGATTCTGCTACTTAAAATCTCCTGGACCTGATGGCCTACATCCTAGGGTTTTAAAAGAGGTGGCTACTGAGATAGTGGATGGCTTGTCTTTGATCTTCCAAAATTTTCTGGATTCTGGAACGGTTCCCATTGACTGGAAGATTGCAAACGTAACACCACTATTTAAGAAAGGTGGGAGAGAAAAGATGGGGAACTGTAGACCAGTTAGTCTGACATCAGTGGTAGGGAAAATTCTTGAGTCCTTAATTAAAGATGTCGTTATGGGATTCCTGGAAAACCATAACAGGATTAGGCAGAGTCAACATGGCTTTACAAAAGGGAAGTCATGCTTACCTAATCTTTTAGAGTTTTTTGAAGATGTATCCAGCAGGTTAGATAGGGGGGAACCAGTAGATGTAGTATATTTAGATTTTAAAAAGGCATTTGACAAAGTGCCACAAAGGCTATTGCACAAAGTTAAAGCCCACGGGATTAATGGGAACATATTAGCATGGATTGAAGAGTGGCTAACGGGTAGAAAACAGAGAATAGGGATAAACGGGTCATTCTCGAATTGGCAGGATGTGACTGGTGGAGTGCCACAAGGATCAGTGCTTGGGCCTCAGCTATTGATCTAGACGAGGACATTGAATGTAACATATCTAAATTCATGGATGACACTAAACTAGGTGGGAGAGTAAGCTCTAAGGATGATGCAAAAAGATTGCAACTGGATATAGATAGGCCTGGGGAGTGGGCGAGTAGGTGGCAGATGGAATTTAATGTGGGGAAGTGTGAAGTTATTCACCTAGGTAGAAAGAATAGAAAAACAAAGATTATTTTCTAGAGGAGGAGAGATTAGATAGTGTTAGTGTTCAGAGGGATTTGGGTGTCCTTGTACACCGGTCTCAAAAAGTTAGTTTGCAGGTGCAGCAAGCAACTAACAACAACAACAAGATTTCATTTATAGAGCGCCTTTCACGTCGGGAGGACATCCCAAGGCACTGGACAGTTGGGTCGGGACCCGAGCAGGGTCTCGTCAGGGTGAGGGGAGGGAAAGGAGGGAGTGAGGAGGGTTTAGAGAGTCGAGAGGGGAGCTGAAGGCACGGTCAAAGAGAAAGGTCTTGAGACCGGCCTTGAAAGAGGAAAGGGAGGAAGCGGCGAAGGCACTGGGGGATGGAGTTCCAGAGCCTTGGGGCTGAGAGGCTGAAGGTCCGGCCACCGATGGTAGGGCGGTTAGGGCGGGGGATGTGGAGCAGACCAGAGCCAGAGGAACGGAGGGTACGGGCAGGTAAGTAGGGGGATAGTAGGTCAGAGAGGTAGGAGGGAGTAAGACCGTGAATGGCCTTGTAGGTGAGGATGAGCATCTTGAATTCGATCCTCTGGGGGATGGGAAGCCAGTGGAGGCGAGCGAGGGTGGGAGTGATGTGGTCGCGAAGCCTGGTGCGGGACAGTACACGAGCTGCAGAGTTCTGGATGACCTGCAGCTTGTGGAGGGAGCTGCCGGGAAGGCCGGCGAGGAGAGAGTTCCCATAGTCCAGCCTTGAGATGATAAAGGCGTGGACCAGTGTTTCAGCAGCGTGAGGGGTGAGGTAGTGCCGTAGTCTTGGCGATATTCCGGAGGTGATGGAAGGCGGTGCCAGTTGTGGCGCAGATATGAGGAAGAAAGGATAGCTCAGGGTCGAACAGAACGCCGAGGTTCCTGACTGGCTTTGAGAGGCAAACGGCTAAGAAGGCGAACGGCATGTTAGCGTTTATTGCAAAAGGTTCAGAGTTCAAGAGTAGGGAAGTCCTGCTGTAACTGTGTAGGGCCTTGATGAGACCGCACCTAGAGTATTGTGTGCAGTTTTGGTCCTTATTTAAAAAGGACATACTTGCCCTAGAGGGGGTACAGCGTAGATTCACTCGGTTAGTTCCTGGGATGAGGGGACTGACCTATGAGAATAGGCTGAGTAAACTAGGGCTATATTCTCTAGAGTACAGAAGAATTAGGGGAGATCTTATTGAAACACATAAGGTTCTTAAAGAGCTGAATAAAGTAGACACTGAGGGTCTGTTTCCCCTGGATGGAGAATCTATAACCAGGGGTCACAGTCTTAAAATTAAGGGTCAGCCTTTTAGAACAGAGTTGAGGAAACATTTCTTCACTCAGAGGGTCGTGAATTTATGGAATTCACTACCCAGAAGGCTGTAGATGCTCAGTCCTTGAATATCTTCAAGGCTGAGACTGATAGATTTTTAAAAAATAGAGGGATGAGGGAATATGGGGATAGGGCAGGTAATTAGAGTTAGATCTGAAGATCAGCCATGATCTTATCAAATGGCGGGGCAGGCTCGAGGGGCCGAATGGCCTACTCCTGCCCCTGATTCTTATGTTCTTATGTTCTTAAGTAAAGGAACAAATTGAGTGTCCAATTTACCCGCTCTTTCTCCAGGTCATCCCGCATCTGCTGATGCTCATGTTCTGTCAGTTCCTGATCTCCATCTCGATCGTATTTCGCAAAAATTGCTTCAATCTCAGCATCAGTATGACCCTTCCTGCAAAAAGTGTAAAACATGCTTTTAATATTGCTCTACTTAACATAATGTGGTAGGACACTTCAGTAATAGTAATCCTTAAGACATCCGTATTACTGACAACATGGAAGCAAATCAGCAAGGATTAAGCAAGGTAAGCAATATTGATAAGAGCAGAAATAAAGTACTGTAATACTATGGTCTTTGGGTCCAGAATAACTATCTAGGGTGAATATTTATTTAAGGGTTTTATGCTCTTAACCACATTTAATACCCAGCCTGATCTTAAAATGGACCTGGAATTCCAGGATATTAGGCAATGACTTGTTGCCATTTCCAGTTAGAGATACACAGAAGTAAATGAGCAAAGGGTTTCAAACTGATACAATAAGCAGAATCTTTTATGGTAAATGCACAGAAACCTGCAGCAACCATCTTTATAGAATGAAAATCGTGAGGGTTGAATTCCAGCGGAATCTGTTTTTAAATGAGACCTTTGGTTCATTGGCTTGTTTTAGTGAATTCCAGTGTTGGTCTCATTCACATCTTTGTAACCTCACAACATCTTCCTAACCGGCCTCCCTATTTTCACCAGCTGTAAGTTCCAGTTGATACAAAACTCCACCTCCCATATCTTCACCCACAACAAACTGTGTATCCCATCACCCCAGTGCTCGCCGACTCCATTGGCTACCCCTCTCCCAAATGATCAACTTCAAAGTCGTCACACTCAGTTTCATGCCCAAGCGCCTCCCTTTAACTGTGATCTTCTTACTGCTGGATGTGAAGCTGCTTCGTAAAATAGCAAAGTGGAATGGGAAGCCCAATTTATATTTCCCACTCAAATCAAGACTTTTTTTAAAAAAAAGAAAGTCTGCTGGTGACGCTGACAAGTTGGGAGAGGGGTAGAGGGCCTGCAGGATGGGGCAGCTCGGAGGATCAGGGCTATCCCCTCCCAGCTCCCTTAAAGAGATGAGCTGTGGATGAGGTCTGACATATGAGCCCCCTCTAGCCCTAGTCACATGACACCTATGCAGACACATTCCCTATTGCTACTTCAGGTTTGGCACTGAGGTGGTGCTAGAAAGCGAAGAGATGTGCAATTAGACCTACAATATAAACACCATAAATCTGTGAAGTTGTTACATAAGCAGTCGCTATGATTGCCATCTGTTCTCAGCACTACTGAAATCTCTTCAGTTTTCTTTCACCAAAAGGCAGAAACCAAACTAAACAAAACTCATGGTTGAGGGGGCGTTGACAAACATTTACTTAAAATGTATTAGTGTACGTTTGGTAAATGCTAAACATAAATATTACTGGAAAAGTAGGACTTTGTTTTTTTAAAAAAGCAAACTGCCGACTTTGACCAGAAAATATACAAAACATTGCAAATGGGGTGGGCCAGCGGGAAGAAGCAAAATTATTTTCCAGCGGGTAGAAGCAAAATTATTTTTCACTATGTTTTTATTTTAAACCCAAACAGCAACAATAGCTTGCATTCATATAGAGCCTTTCATGCGGGGTAGCATCTCAGAGCACTTAGGTGTGGCAGGGCTCAATTCCAAGCTAGGGAGAGAGAGCGATACTGTCGAAATATTATAAATATTTATACAATTATAAATATTTAAAACTATTATTACTATACCCTTTCAGATCTTGTCGTAATTCGTCAAAGTTTAGTTTTCCTCCAGCTTGGCGCAGACTCTCAGTTATGTCATCTACAGTTGTCTTCTTGAGACGAAGTTTAACCAACGCCTTGCTGCAGCCCTTTAAAACAAGTTTTCAAGTTAAGATGAATCGTAATCATTTGAGACAAATTAACTTGTAGCAATGCAATTTGACTCAAACTCAAGTCTGCTTCAAATGTATTTAACGATGTACATATATTTATTCCTCTCAAACTTAGGTTTCCAATTTATTGTTGATAATAATCATTACCTGTTAGAAAAGATGGGAAGTGGGTCCAGGAACTCACAAGTATCAGCTCTGGTCAGAAGGAGAACCATGGACAATTATTCTGCCAAAAACTGGATTTCTGAATTTTTAGATTCAGGTATTCCGTTTGTGCACTGAAAAAAGTGCCTCATAGTTCAGAATCAACAATAGATTTAAAAGCTTATTTATGTGTGCGAAGCTGGGCAGCTCACTGACTTTGGGTCGTAAGGTCGTTAATGAAGTCAGTTCCAGTGCGCTGCGCATGTGTAATAGCAGAGGGGACATCAATGGCAACCTGATGGCCCTTTTTAAGAGCACCAGAAGCCAAATCGGCTGACTAGGTCTTTGCCAAAGTCAGTAACTGTGAGAAATATCATGAGGTCAAATAGGCCAAATGCCCTTCATAGCCCTGAACTTGTGCCCTTGACCTGCTTCCAGTCATATCTGAAAGTATTTTTGATTTTTTCATTCCCCTTTAGAATCTGATATACCTCATATAAATGTAGGTTCTCTTTTCAAGGTTGGCGAACCCTAGCTTATTTAATGATTCTTATTTTCCCTCTAACATTGGGGATAATGGTGAAAGTTTTTAAATTATAGCACCCTTGTTTCCACTCAAAAGCATAACACTCCACCACAACTCCGATACCACTTTAAAATTCAAATTATAAATTAATTGCATAACGCGGCAGCATGATACTACAATCAATGCCTTGTCTATTCCCAGTATACTGCCAGCATATCCATTATTAAATGTTACATTGATGGTTGAGAATGCCAATCACCTGCTTTGGAAATTAGATTGCTTATCCGATCGCCCTTCCCCCTCCAAGCCAGAATAATACTCTAATATAAGAAGTGGTCAGAAATCATGTCTCTCACCCCCCACTCACAGACACCTCAACATAGCTGCAAACAAAATGCCTGCAAACACTGAAAGAATACTTGTTGTCACAAGCTATACAAATTTGGGTTAGAAGGATTCAGAACCATTTTCTCAATGTCGTGTATGACAAGAAAATTACAATGAAAACATTTTCAAATACCTTCTTGATAAGGTCTGTTAGTTCCATCTCATTCTTTTGGTGGGACAGATCAGCTTTCACTTCTGAATAGGTATCATTGATGATGGCCAAAAACATGTTCTGGTGAGACAAAGGAAACAGACTCAATCTGCAGTGTGATTCATATTCTGAATCTTTGTTAGCATATAAAATAGGATTTCAAAAGAAAAAATATTTCAAGAATAAAATGTATAAGACCTTACTTAAGTTTAGTAAAGGTCATAAGCAATCACACAAACCTCCAGCTTTGTAAATTATAAATAATAATCCTTGCATTTGATATAGCTCCTTATCACGTCTTCGAGACGTCTCAAAGCGTTTCACAGAATATACTGTAAAGTGAATTGACTAACTTTTGGGGGGCAAAATTATTTAACTTATGATATCCTGGACAACAATTCTTCACCTCACTTATTTCTAACAGCAATGTTTAAATAAATCTAGGTCATGCCAATTATAGAAATCCACATTGGAGCATAAGTAGGGGACAGTGATTTATAAAACAATAATTCAGCTGAGCAGATTGGATGATAAATCACACAAGCAAAGTACACTTCAGCAAAATTCAGAGACTGAATCACAGTTTTAACCTCATTATGTTATTCTTTATACATTAAATACAGGCTATTTTTGTTTCTGCTTACCAAGTACACCGTGTATATACAGCTGATATGATGCGAATGAAGGCAATAAAATGACAGTAAAATGACCTCAGGAAAATGCAGAAAGTATGTTACAAATAAACTTTTTTCTAGTGTAATTAAGCATAGAGCTATTTCTGCTTAATCAGGACATTTATATACAGCAAACTCCTGATAACTCGAGACTGGTTTAATTTGTGACCACCATTTAAGTTGCCGTGCTGTCAACATACCGCTTCCTGTACAAAATTATTAATGACGCACTCCGCTTTACTTGTCACTCCATTTAACACGTAACAAGTCACATTCTAGAAATTTGTGTAAGTACTTACAATGTAAAAAATTGATCAGATAAATTGACCTATAAGATGGCATCTTCTATCGCAGAGGCTTCCCGCTCTATCTACCCGTTGTAAGGGTGCAACTGGAGGTTGGCCGTGCATGCTCAGACACAGAGCAGAGGCCTCTGATCTACTGGAAGGCCATGCCATGGCTTTCGTCGTATCCGGTGACAGGATAGAGCAGGAGGCCATGGCGCGCCCTCCAATAAACCACAGGCCTCTACAGCAAGATAAGGCTGGAGGCCACAGCTTGGCCCTCCAATAGACCAGAGACCTCTGTGATGCATCTGAGCGTGCGCACCCAACCTCCACCAAGTGACTCCATCAATCAGAGCGCCCCTTGTGGCCCAGGAGGACCTATGCCTAACTTGCCACTGGATAGCTCGTCACTTGGCTCTTTTCCCTCGGAGTGACAAGTTATCTGGAGTTTACTGTAATCAAAGTGAATAAGCAACTTTAGGAGCTAATTTCAAATTACTGAGGTAAATTATTGGGGGAATAACTGATAATTGCACTTAGCTGGAAATTCTGGTTCGATGGACAGATTCTCCCTCTATTAATCTGGCTAAGTATACATGTTTAAGTATACACACATACACGCATTATCAGTACTGCTTCCCCACAAAGAACAGATTACAGAAACAGAATAATAATTTTATATTGAAAGTATTTACATTCCTTTCAAGGACCATAATCGTATTTATTACTCACCAACAGAATAAAGAAAATAAAAAACACAAAAGTGGCAAAGTAAATTGGTCCCAAAATCCTGTTTGCTTCTTCAATTTTGATAAAGTCGAAGTCTCCCAATATGATTCGAAACTGAGTAAAACTACAAAAGGAATAGTGGAGTGAATCAAAAACATCTAAAGGCTTGCTAATTTGACAATTCTGCTACATGTGGGCACATTTAGTAGGAATTGGAATACAAAACATTTCACAATGGAAAAAGCAACAAATTTGTAATCTAGAGTTATAATGTGTTCATACACATTTAACGTACCAAAACAAAAAATAAATGTTGAATAATGCAAAAGGTGTAACGTGGGAATTCTTGCAATAACAAACATTCTTATCTGTACACATTTGGTTACACAAACCAACACTTGGGTTAACATTTTCCTGCGTAATAATCTCTATAAATTCTAAATCTCTGCTAAATGTGCTCTCAAAGAATAGGAAATAAAACTGTGAGGTGGGTGGAGAGGAGAGAATAGAAATATAACAAGTTATCACAGTCTCCCCACTCTTTGAAACTAATAGTTTTAGTGAACATTTATTATAATCATCTCAACTCTCGACAAGTTGGGACTCAAGAGGCATAGTAAATGCAGAGAAGATATTAGACAAGAACAGCAATTCAATAAGAAATAAAAGTAGCATAAAAGAAAATAACAAATTTAAAGAAGAGCAAAATGAAAAGGCAATTCAACATAGGATAGCACACCTCCTAAACACGCATGCACACGAATCAAAGAGCAGTTTGTTTTAAACCACCTAAACTGTGCCAACTATAACATTCCCTGCAAGACCTGAGGGGGACTCCCGAGTGAGAAAGCTGCATATGGAGGATGCATCTTTAAGAATGTACCAAGAAAAATCACCCATACTCCGCTGAAGACTAAACTAGTAACTGGGGTGAGGTCGGATGTCCTTGAAATGAGGCAGAGATCAGCTGCCAGAAACGATCTGACAGGATCCAAATCCAAATAATGCTTTAGCAGAAGTAGCAGATAGATTTGTTGAAACTATTGATAGAAACTTTACCAAGGATGCCCAAGTTATTCACTGAAAGAAAAAAATGGCTCTTGCACTTATGTATTAGTTGGAAAAACTGTGGAGGGCAGGAGGAGAGAAAAGGGAAGAGTGAGGCATATAGAAAGGTCCAATTATGAAAGCCTCAATTCAATATGACTATTTTGGAATTACCCCTTTTCACAAATTGACCCCATTATAAGGTGTCTCAGCTAAAGAGAGAATTTGCTTGTAATGTGGGTCTTCTGTGGCTTATTTCTGACATGCCAGTTGGTGTATGCAGCCAACTCGTCAGCTGGGACTGCTCTCAGAAATGTTTCTAGTACCTAGAAACGTTCGCAAGAGTGGTTGCAGTTGACCATCTATCTTCTTGCATGCTGATGTCAGCTAGCCTGTGCCCGAAGCTGGAAGAAACAGCAGTGACCAACTGACAATCTTGAGCAGCCATTTTTTCAAAGACCAATTTATAACACCGAGTGTAATTTTATGGCATCACAAAATATATAACTATTATATTAATTTTCCTTCCTATGGTCCTTAAAACAGAAAACTTACATGCATGTTTGGAAAGTGCTGAAGTCATCGACCTGGGTACCGAATACAAGGTAAGCCAGCTGAGCATAAGCTAGGAAAACAATAAAAAACATGATGGCAAAGCCCAAGATATCTTTGGCACAACGAGACATGGTGGAGGACAACTGGATCATGGTCTTATTGAAGCTAATAAATTTGAAGATCTGTGAAAACAAAAGTGCAATAAATCTATTTCAGTTTCTATTTGCATTAAATAGGTTCTTAACCCATATACTACACCAGTCCAATATTAGTCAATCTGTCTTAAGTGAGATACTTATGCAAAATATCATAAGAACATAAGAATTTGCTAGGTGAAAGAGACTTAGAGATTATTAGAAATCTAATTCGTCTTCCATCTTCCTGACAGTCACTTGACATCATGATTGCACTATAATGATTAAGAAAACTAACATGTACCTCGAGCACATTTAAAAAACATCTCACTTTCAAGGCCTACTATCGGTGGCCGGGCTTTCAGTCCCTCTGCCCCCACACTCTGGAACCCCATCCCACGGTCCCTTCACCTCGCTTCCTCTCTTGCCTCCTTCAAAGCCGGTCTCAACACCCTTCTCTCTGATCGTGATTTTGGTCGCCCTCCCACCTCTCGGCCATCCCTCACCCCTGCACCACCCCTCCCCCATGCTCAGGCCCCGACACCTTGACTGTTCAGCGCTTTGGGACGTCCTCCCGACGTGAAAGGCACTCTAAAAAATTTAATTTTGTTGTTGTTGTTTAAATCAATACCACCATCAAATGATTAGTGCACAGCTTGATACACAATAAACTTGCTTGAATCAAAAAAGTAGCCAAGACAAGAAACTCCAATTTTATATTGTAAAAGACCTACCTTAATCCATGCAAAAAACACAACAACAGCAGCCACACTGTTGAACTGAATCTGCCAGTATGCCAGAGACTCAAAATTGTGGTATGAATTCTGCTTCTCCAGCAACTCTCCAAGTAATGTATTGACCATTGACATGCGATAAATATTTATGCAAATTGCTACCAATGACAGCTGGAAAAGGAGAAACAAAATTTATTAGCGCTCTCATTAATCAACAACAACATGTACTTATATAGCACCCTCTACTATAGGCACTATGGGGGATGGGGGGAGAGAGGAGGCCATAAGCACGGTCAAAGAAGAAGGTCTTCAGGAGGGCTTGGAAGAGGGGAGGGGGATGCGGGAAGAGAGGGAAATGAGGAAGTGGGCCGAAATGGCTTTGTCCGTGATGGCTTTGTCAGTGATGGACAGATTGGAAATGCCATGTGTGATGATGAGGTCGAGGGGGTGGTGTTGTGGGTTGGCGAGTTGATGTGGAGGGTGAGGTTTAGGAAGGAGGGGAGGGCAGTGACATCCGAGAAGGTGGTGCAAGGGGAATTTAGGTGGCGGTTGAAATCACCCATTATGAGCAGGTGTTCAGTGCAGAGGAACAGGGATGAGAGGAGAGATATCGGTGAGGAAGGAGACAGGAGGTTTTTGGGAACAGTAAACCAAGTGGATTTTGAGGGAGAGAAAGGAGGGATGGTAAAGGATTAGGTGCTCAAAGGAGGAGAAACAGCCAGAGGAATAGGGGGATAGACCAAGGGAAGCTTGGGAGATGAGGGCCATCCTGCCACCATGTTGGTTGGAGGAGGGGGGTGTAGTGAAAAGTGCAGCCAGGAGAGGAGGTTTCAATGAGGGGAACGGGGTCACTGGGGGAGAGCCATGTTTCTGTAAGTCCACGAATATCGATTTACACATCCAGGATGAGGTCAAGGATAGTAAGGGAGAGGGAGTAATTGGAGAGGGAGCGGACATTTTGGAGGGAAATGCAAATAAGTTTATTGGTGTGGGGGGAGGGGGGGAGAGGAGTAAGGAGTGGTATAGAGAGAATTTGTGGTTGTGGGGGAGAAACGACCGTAGAGTTTGAGAGGCAGGGAGAGTTGCGGAGGGTATGGATGAGGGAGGGCAAGTTTGCCTTTCAGAGGCAGTTGGTGAGAAGAGAGTGAGCGATGGGACAGTTGGGGTGGCTGGTCTGGGACAGCCAACGCCAGGAGCCACGATAGGCCTGGCGGAGGATGTCCAAGCCAGAGCAGAGGAGGTAATGGTGGGGTCCAGGAGAGAGAGAAGGCAAGGAGGGTGGTGGGAGAGAAGGACAGAGTGGGAGTAGGGGAGTGTGGGGGGTAGGAGCGGGAAATTTTTTAGGAGCCGCTCAACTCGGAAGCCAAAACGCGCATGCAGAGACCAGGAGCGAGTGATCAGCGAGGCAGCATCAGCCTGTGGGCTACAGGAGACAGCGTGGGGGGGCAAGGGGGGATGAGAGGGGCTGGCGTTCATGGCTTAGGTGCCAGAGACCAGGAGGGAAGCGAAGACAAGGTAGCAGAAGGATAGTAAAATATACACTATACTTAACCTACCCTGCTGATTTGAAAAAATAAATCAAAATGACATTTTAGAATTAAATTGGATTTTTCTAGGCAAGAAGACATCAGGGAGAAAGTCTGCAGCATATAGTCTGAGTTTACAAAAATTCTACATCAATGGATGAGTCCATGAGAAACATTAACAGAAACATAGAAAACTAATGAGTGTGTAGAGGTGACAATGTCATGTTGTGAAGATTTCAGCAATAACAAGTAAGCACTTAGTAGGCAATGGCATATGGAACTGTTCACATGACAGGATAGAACGTATAGAGAGCTTGGGTTTCACTAGAAAACGGAGTCTGTGTCCAAACTTTGAAGACAAGTTCCTATCATTGCCATCATTGACTCTCCAACTATGAAGACAATTGTTATCACAGGCATTTACGTCAACACTTACCATGATAATGACAATGTCCAGACAATTCCAAAGATTTCTGAAGTAATGTAGTCTATGAATGTAAATCTCCAGAATCTCCTCAACTATGTAGTAAAAAATGAAAATACTGAAAGCAATTTCACAAGCTGCCAGGAAAAAGTCAAAGCTGGAGATATAACGAATAAGTTTCACCGTCTGGAACTGCCACGATGAAAGAGCACCTCCTGTTGCAGGGAACTCGACCACCAACCTGCACAATGTGAACAAAACTACAATTTAAATGTGCTTGAATTCTTCTTGAATAAGCAGGAAGCAAATACTGTAATCACAATATGGATTGATTGCACTAAATGAACTAATCCTCCTGCTACTAGTTATATTCATATAAAACACGTTTACATAACAATAGCACAATTACTACACTACACAAGCTTTTTAATGTTAAATTACCTCTATTTGGTACAGTTTACTTTATTATTTCAGTTTTTTTAGTCATCATTTTCCTTCACAATAGGATAAGTGTGTCTAACAGAAGTAAATTCAGAACAAAAATGTCTCCTAGGTGTTTTGGTCACTGTAGTTCTGTGTTGTAAGCTGCAGCCTCAATATTTTAATAGAAGCAGAAAAGAACATGCTTACATAGCAGATGAAGAACTGTTGTCAAAATAATTAAGATGCATACATTCCAATTCAAATAGAGACCAGATGATCAGTAAAGAAGATGAGCATTTTTTTCAATGACTTAACGGCCAGAGGTGGAATAGTGGAGGGCACAGGCAAGAGAATAGGGCTAGATGGAGAAAATTAACTTGCATTTTTATAGTGCCTTATGTGCCAAAAGTATCAAAGAACTTTATAGCATTATCATCAAATGTAATGATTTTTGTAGCAGTTGTTTTGCTAACAAACAAAATTGAGGAGAGTGGCCAATTTACCAGTAGGAACTCTTCAAAGACATTGAAAATGTGAAGAGAGCATGATCACCGAGGGTTTAAAGTCCAGGGGAAGATCTTTAAGAGATCAACTGAGGTATTAGAAGCTAGGAGAGGAACAGTGTAATGGGTATGCAGATTGATATGGGAAAGAATACAGAGTTTGGATGAGTTGGAACATAATTCAGTTTAAAAGTGATCTTTAATACTGCACCACTTCTCTGGATCCCCATCGGTCCAACAACAGAACAATTCTGATAGTTTGTCATACCTGATCACACAAAACAGATTGATGTTTGCATTGTAGACAGTGAAATCTATGAACACAACCCTGGTCCCTCGATCAAGCCAGAGATTCTCCTTCAGTACTTTAAATTTTGCCGCCGTTTCATCTCTACGTCTTCCCAGATTCAAGGAATAACCTCCTCCACTATAAGTAGCAATTAAACCCCAGTATCTGTTTGCTTTCAAATCTTTTTCAGGTGTATAAATCCAGCTGTAAAAAAAAAAGAATTTTGAAAAGAAGTAAATGAACTCAAGGACACCACTTTGATTGTGCAACTGGAACCACTCATTCATTCATGAATAACACAAATAGAGGAGATGAAAGGACTACTACAAAGCAAAATGAAATATCATCAAAGCCAACCCAATTCCCAATTAAAGCATTATAATCACAAACTAAATCATCACTTTCAAACTACTGCCAATTTCACTATTCATTTAGATTTCTGTTGAAGTATAGGAGGAATATACAAATGTACTACTGGATTATTCTACACCCATAATAGTATTAATAATAAAAATCCGTGAATTTGATATAGCACTTTTCACGTCTTCGAGATGTCCCACAGTGCTTCACAGAATATACTGTAAAGTGAATTGACTGTATATATTTGAGGGCGAAACACGGCAGCCAATTGCACACAGCAGTGTCCCACAAACAGTCGTGGATTGAGTGACCAATTTATTATTGTTTCTTATTTTTGAGGGATTATTACCAGGCATGTGGAGTTAGAGGAAACTTGCCCAAGGTTTTGCCCTGCCGAGAATCGAACCCAGGTCTCTTGCTTGTGAGGCGAGTGCTCTAACCACCGAGCTACAGGACACCCATCCCAATATAAAAGGAAAATGGTGACCAAAGTAAGATCTCTTGCTTTTATCAACCAGCCTCTCAATCCTACAAAATTATTTCCTCCTTAGTTGCTTGTTCCAGCTAACTGAGCCAGTGCATAGCCTTGGCATTGTGTTTGACACTCTTGAGGCTTGTCAAACTCTGAATACTGTAATAATAATAAATAATAATCGTTGCATTTGATATAGCGCTTTTCACGTCTTCTAGACGTCTCAAAGTGCTTCACGGAATATGCTGTAAAGTGAATTGACTGTATATTTGTGGGCGAAACACGGCAGCCAATTGCGCACAGCAGTGTCCCACAAACAGTCGTGGATTAAAAATGACCAATTTATTTTTGTTTTGGAGGGATTATTATTAATCGTGTGGAGTAAGGAAACTTGCCCAAGGTTTTTCCCTGCCTGGAATTGAACCCAGGTGTCTCGCTTGCAAGGCGAGTGCTCTAACCACTGAGCTACAGGCTGTTCCTGGGATCCCCTCTACCCCTGTCCACTGCTAGGATCACGTTTTCACTTCATCCCTGACTCTTCTTTTCAGTGATTTCATGGTTTCACAATTTTCTTAAAATTTTAAAAGATTTTGTGAAATCCCTGGTTTCACAACTTTACTGTAACATATATACCATGAAACGCTTATCAGTTACTTTAACAAAAGACTTCTTTTTTTTATTATAAAAACTATACTGACCAAAACTGCCTTTTTCCATCAATGAAGCATTGCCTAACCTGTGACTCTATCTCATCATTCTGCCCCTGAAACCCAACTCCTTTCCTCGAAAACCCTCTTAAAAACGTTTGGACAATGCCCTTAAATACTCCTTCCTCTCCTTACTCCCATCAAATGTGAAGCACTTTTGAGACTTCCATCCTTCGTAAAATGTGCTGCAAACACATGCTGAGCAACACATTATAGTGTACAATACAAATCATGTGTTGTCCAATTGACAATATCTTCTCTGCAGCAGCATTTTTTGCATTGTCATTTGCCTTCTCAGGAAGACTATAATTGTTTTTTTAAAAAAATCTTATCTTAGCCAAAATTGATCATTTGCTTAACGATAGTATACTTAGAACATACAACAGAAACTAAGTGATCCATTTACACAATGGATATATTTGAAATACAACATAAACACCAGTTCTGAGTCTATTATAACATTAGATGATACAAATTACAATCAAACGAGCTTCTACATGTATACTTGCTGTCCTTTTTAAATAAATATAATTTTTTTGCCGGGTAAAAGACGTAAAATGCTGTTCGACTTAAAAAATAAATAAAAACACAGGCACATACGCAGTTCCATCCTTAGGACCAAATGGTGCAGAATCTTCATTTGCAAACGAATAGACATCATAGCATTCTTTGATTTCATCCTTCAAGTCTTCGTGTATTTTACAGGATTCATTCTTCACTTTCAGTTGTCTCATCCGAGGCACCCCCAAAAGAAGGTTTTCGTAGTAAATGAAACTTTTGTTCTCAGTCATCGTTTCATTATTGTACCATAGGTCCCAATAAAGCCCGTTCAGTAAAGGGCCATCTGTGTACTGGAAAGAAAACTAATTTTTTAGCAGTACATTGGGTTACTCCTGTTAAGTCACCAATGTTAATATAATAATCCTTCTTTTGATATAGTGACTTTTTAGAAAAATATCAGTTAGATATGTCTAATCTTCTCCTTGCTGTTCTCCCTAGTTCCACCGTTTATAAACTTCAACTCGTCCCAAACTCCACCTTCCGCATCCTTGGCCACACTAAATTCCGCATGTCCATCACCCCAGTCCTCACCATTAGTTCCCAGTCTCTCATTGGATCTATTTCAAGGTCCTCACCCACATTTAAAAAAAAAGCAGCCTTTTTTCCAAATTAAACTTCTAGTAAAGATTACCTGTTGTATTGTCCGGAATCAAAGCACAAATTTCAATGGACAATTTTGAGCTTGAAATTAATTGCAGCTGTGCTATTTCAAGCTAATCTAAACAAGAGTCTGTTGATCTATTTTGAGAGTATTGTTTAAGACAAGGATGGTTTATTTGCTTTTATTCCTATCAGCAGAATTTACACGTCAAGATAGGTGAGTGTACAACAACAACAAAATTACATTTGTAACGTCTTTCACATCGGGAGGATGTTCCAAGGTGCTGGACAGTCAGCGTTTCGGACCCAAGCTGGGGGTCGCGATTGGGGAGGGTAGAGGACAGGGCGGAAAGCAGGTCAAAGAAGAGGTTCTTGAGATGGGTCTTGAAGGAGGCAAGGGAGGGGGTGAAGGAGAGGGACTGCGGGATGGAGTTCTGGAGGGTGGGGGAAGTGTGGCAGAAGGCCCACCCACTAATGATCAGTGAAGCAGGTTGGAGCCCGCTAAGCGGAGGGAGCGGGCAGGATGGTAGAGGATTAGGAGGTCACAGAGGTAGGGGAGAGCAAGGCCATGGAGAGCTTTGAAGGTGAGGATCGGGATCTTGAACTGTATCCTATGTGTTATTAAGCCAGTGGAGTCAGACGAGGATGGGGGTGATAGGGTGACGGAGCCTGATGCAGGAGAGGACACGAGCTGCAGAGTTCTGGATGATCTGCAGCCTATGGAAGGAAGAGTTGGGGAGGCCAACAAGCAGTGAGTTTGTATAGTCAAGCCTCTGTGTAATGAATGTGTGTATGAGGGTTTCGGTGGCCTGCGGTGTGAGACAGTGGCGGAGCCGGGCGATGTTGTGGAGGTGGGGGAAGGCAGAGTGGGTCATGGCGCAGATGTGGGGTAGAAAGGATAGTTGAGGGTCAAACATTAAGTAGATAAGTTCGATTTAATTTTGATACCAAAATTAGCATCTGCAGCATCTTATAATGCAGGCTAAAAATTTTCAATTTTTAATGCAAAGCAGCTGTAATAGAATTGAGCTACTTAACTGTTTAGATTATTGAACAAGGCCCAAGACGATCAATTAGTTTGGAAACAATAATAACATTCACATTTAAAAAATCCCAAAATGCATCAAAATATAATTGCTTAAAAATAAGTGAATATTGTATGGTAAAATGTAGCATGTAATTTGTGCAGCAAAATTCATAAACAATATGATAAGGAGCCAAATACTATAATGTGAATTTTAGAGAAAAATTAGATGATGAGAGGAATATAGTACCACTAAAAATAGACTTTTTAAATAAGAACTTTACCTATTATATTTATGGTACCAGTTTAATTTTGTTGCTATTAAAATAGCAGTATGAGCAGTCACTGACATAACCATCACAGTTCATATCTTTGTAAGGCTCTTACATAATAATTCTACAATGGTAAAGAGGCCATTAAAGTGTACATCCCACCTCAGAGAAATCCAAGCACCTTTTGAGATACATTTAATGTGCACAACTGGTGAGATTTTATAATGCTTAATTCAAAACTGCACACTCAGAACGCCACCCAGTGGTAATTCATAATAATCCTTGCATTTGGTGGAGTGCCATATTACGCCATTGAGACACCTCAAAGAGCTTCACAGGATATACTATAAATTGGATCGATTGTGCATTTTGTGTGCAAACTCTGCAGCCAGTGTCCCACAAACAGTCTTGGGAGTAAGTGGCCAATTTTGTTTTGAGGGATTGTTGACCAAGACACTGGGAGAATCTCCCTTTGAATAGTGCTAAGGGATCTTTAATGTCCACTTGAACCAGCAGACAGGACCTCGGTTGAACGTCTTATCTGAAAGACAGCACCTCCACCAATTCAATACACCTCCAGCACTGCATAGGAGTGTCATCTGAGACTATGTGATTCCAACTCCCAACATGGGACTTGAGCCCACAACCTTTTGACTCAGAGGTAAGAGTACTTATGTCTTATCCTGTACTTATCCTGAAAGGGAGCAAATACAGATCAGTAACTTGCTTTACGTAATTTGTAAATTTTACAGCAAGTGTTTATGCTCAGCGAATTAAGTTTTAACACTGCATTTTGCAATGTTGCTAAATCCCACCATTTTTGCTGAACAGTTATTGAATCTTCCAATCTGTGTCATGACTTATGTACCCCATTATTCACATTTTGCATGGGAAGTAGATGGGATACACAACATGGCGATATAAGATAAGTGATCATATAAGCCAATGTTTTATTATCAGGAGTTCACTGTATTTTCCCTGCAATTATGACACTAGATTTATGTCTGTTTGGCTCTCCAAATTTACCCGCGTGATAAATCACTAAACATTAACTCAAAATCTATAACATTCTTCCTTTGGATGAGATGTTAAAACAAAGCCCCATCTACCTATTCGAGTGGACATTAAAGATTTCATGATAGTATTTGGGGGAAAAAAGGGAGTTTTGTCTGGTACCCTGGTCAAGCATCTCCAAAATTAATAAAATGGTCACTCATGGCTGTTTGTGGGACATTGCTGTTCGCAAATTGACTGCCACATTCGCCTATACTTTACAGTATACCCTGTATTTCCATCATGTGAAAATATTTCACTTTGGGGTGACATCTCAAAGCACTTAATTCTGCTAGCTCTGCATCCAAGCTAGGGATGGAATCTGAAGGGGCAAGGAGGGTAAAGATGACCAAAACTATGGTCAAAGAGGGATGTCTCGAGACATATATCTTGTGATAAGCGCAATATCAAATACAATGATTATTTATTTTAGATTCTAATGTCCAACAGTACCTTCCAGAAATCGTCCATGCTGGATAAACTCCTGAAATTGGCTTTCTCATTAGCTGCAAAAGGTGTGTCCAAGAAAAGATCAGACATGACTTTGGTATAGTAATACATAGTGGAGCTGACCATCCCATACGTTACTGAAACAGAAATAAATACAAAACAAAAGCAGGTCAGACAAAAATCAAGTTGTTTAGATGTACAAATGTAACAAAGCAGATTGTTATTGCTACTTCCTTCTTAGAGGAATTGTAGATTTCTTGTTTAAAATCGGGCACAATAAATATAATTGCTAAAGTGTACATTATAATAATAATCCTTGCATTTGATATAGCGCCTAATCACGTCTTCGAGATGTCTCATAGCGCTTCACAGAATATATTGTAAAGTGAGTTGACTGTATATTGTGAGCAAAATGTTCTTCAATATTCAGTTCAATCGGTTCTAAACCAACTTCTAAGAATCTCAAGAGCATTGAAGTATGTGAAACAAAGTTGATCAGTATAAATTAATGTATTTTATAATACACTTGTACAGCATTTTACGATCAACAATCTTAATGGAAACTAACTACTGTATCGAAAATATATCAAACAAATTCTCCCTTTCTTAAGCTCCACTTTTTTTTCCCCGTCACCAGAGTATCCTACACACACAGAATTCCATGCAACCCACCTACACATGGTAATTCCTGTGTATTGGAATGGAAACACTCTCCCTGGAGTGTCACATCCTCCTTACCTACTTCTGGAGTATTAAGCACAGGTTGGCAAGAGCTGAGGCTTGGGGACCCCAGAATGTGTTCATTAAATCAGTCAAATTCTTCTCTTAAAGTCCACTATCTCCATAGCTATTGCACTTAACACTGCAGTTAGTAATAATGGCAGAGCTAATGTGTGTGAATACTGCCAATACTGCCCCATTCTACCAGGTTGCTTAGTTATTATGGAACACCTGAAAAGTTTGCAGTGCATGTTTGGGAAAAAGGTGCTTTTTGGAAGTGTCAGAAATTGATTTCTTATTAGACAAGAGTAGTTAATTATTTACCCACTCTGGGTGGCATAACACTGTTGGATTTTAGCACTGCCACAGAATTGTATGATTCTGGTTTAAAAGATTGCAAGATAATTTAAAGTACTTCACTTTCTACCCAGAGTATTAATAAAGTAAATCTCACGTATGTTGTATCAGTTGGGACCATAAGATTTAATACATTCAGAAATTAATAAGTACACTTCAATGATATATTTGATATTTTACTTACAGCGATGTGTAGAATGTGACTTAATACATTAAGCGGAGTGATGAAATAAGGAGGAGGGTGGGGGGGAGTCCCTTATTCGCATTTTGAAATGGGAAGTGCCCGGAATATGAACAGCATGGTGATATGAGACATGTGATGACATAAGTCAGTGTTTTATTATCGGGAGTTCACTGCAATTTTATTCCAATTATAATCTTTCCAATTTACCCATGGCAAGTTTAAGTCACCCATAACAATTGTGCTTGATCCCTTTCCTGCTTCCCTTAATAATTAACAGGAAAATTCTCATAAGCATCAAGATAATCTTATAGAGGTACAAACGCAAGTTACAGAGTCTATGAGCTAAAAACAACTTATTGATCAAATACATCACTTAGCAATTAGTTTACAAAACAAACCCAGGCACAGTGAATTCAAATAGAAATGTATATATTCCTAATTTTACATAATAGAGACTACATTTAAAAATGCTCTAGAGGATAAGATATCATAACTTGACTGACATGCAGAATTTTAACAATATGTCAAAGTCAACGAACTGCACTTTTTTGTGTGTCCTTGTCCTTTTATACTCGAGCATAAAAAGGTAAATCAATTATTCATTTGAGTGATTTGTTAATATTTAGATTTTGAGCAGCATTAAGCAGCACCGAGAGACCAAAGTGCAGCACTAAGCTCAGGAGAAGAAATTCCTTAAATTCCTTACAGTTTGATATTATGGTTGCTAAATCATTAAAGTGCTTTATAAAGATGTTGATCTGGAACTGAAAAAAAATCAAAGAGGGCTGAATACAAAAGATGCACATAAAATACAATATTTTTCAATTTTTTTTCCAACTTTCAGAAGTGACTTGGTGGAGTATATGCTCTATGTGCCCTATAAATAGTTATTTATTGTTTGAATATTATGTCATATAATTGAATCCTATACAAGGTCAGATTACAATGTATTTCATCCACAAAATATACAGTCAATTCACTTTGCAGTATACTCTAAGAAGAGCTTTGCAATGTCTCAAAGATGTGACAAGGCACTATATCAAATGCAAGGATTACTATTATTATTATTTGATAAACTGCAAGGGCCAACAGTGAAGGTGCTATATAAATGGAAGCTGTTGGGAGTCTTCAAGACCAAGGCTCTCCTGCATGAATCCCATCAGTGCCTCTCACTTCACGCACTGATTATATTGACCTGCATGGTTGCTTAAGTTGCATCACCAGTATAACACCGTTGAACTTATAGTCTCTCAGTTGCACAAGCCAAGAATCACATTCTATTCCCAGCCCATCCTAGAGGCCAAAAATAATCTCAAACTCCACCACACATCACCCACACCACACACACCCTCAAGCTCACTCAATCCTCATCTCCAAAACCAAGTCAAAGAGATCATAGACTTTTTCATATCTAAAATGGACAGCAAACTCTTGGCTGCTTCAGAGTGTGTGTTGGGGTACTACTGAAGTGCAGCTAAAAGCGCATAGCTGCCGTTAATATTGCTGTCCGGTAAGCTTTCTTACTGCTTGTCCAGCTAGAACCATCCTACCTGTTAGGGCTTTGGCTTGTAGGGTTAACAGAAGCTGAATGGGATGATTCCCTGCCCCCAGTGACTGGTCTGCCATTCCAGGTCCTGCCGATGAGCCAGGCTGGGCTGTGCTGCATCAGTAGTGCCCTGGAATACTTTGGACCCACCTGACTCAGGAACTGGACTAGAGACCGTCGAGGAAGCCTGGCTCGATTCCGATATTCCATTGCCAGGCATGTCATCTTGGAGCAAGTTCAGTTATGCTTACCAAGCATACAGATTCCTCCCCCCTCAGCTTCCAGGTCCATCAATGTTAAGCACTCCAAGATGCTATCTGCATTTTTTCATGTTGTTTTCTTCTCCCTCAAAGAGCCTGTATGGAAACTTTTTTCCTTGTTCAATTCGCACCTATCCTTGAAGCCCTACATCTGGGCTCTTACATATTGGGCTTTCTTCACCTCCACTGCTCTCTTTCCCTGGATTGGTGAGACTCTCACCGATGCCTTAATCGCATCAAGGCTCAATTATTCGAATGCCCAGATTGCTACACATGGAGCAGTCCATCCAGAACTCTGCAGTCCATGTCCTCTCCGACTCCAGGGAACAGTGAAACAGATTAAAGATCCTCATCTTCCAATTTAATTACCTCCATAGCCTCATCATACCGGACTTCTATAACCTCCTGGATTCCTACTGACCTGGCTGCTCTCTACTCAGCAAACACTGAGCTTCTTTATGTTCCACCCAATCCACCCAACCAATCTGGCCCCACTCTCTTGAACTTCATCCAACAACAACAACTTGTACTTGTATAGCACCTTCCACGTAGGGTAGCGTATCAGAACGCTTAACAGTGGCGCAGCCTGACTCCGAGCTTGGGAGGAGGGGGGGGAAGGGGAGGTGACCATAAGCATGGTCGAAAAGGAAGGTTTTCAGGCAGGACTTGAAAAAGGGGTGAAAGGGGGCAAGGAGAGGGATTGAGGGAGAGTATTCCAGAGTTTCAGGGCTTAATGGCTGAAAGTGCAACCCTCAGTGCTGGAGCGGAGGGTGTGAGGGACAAGCAAGGGGTCGGTGCCAGTCGAGCAGAGGAGCCGGGTGGTTGATTGGGGAGTGAGGAGGTCGGAGAGGTAATGAGGTGCCAGAAAGCAAATGGATTTGAACATGAGTGTGAGGATCTTGAAGTCGATCCGTTCGGTGATGGGGAGCAAGTGGAGCTCGGCCAGAACTGGTGAGATGTGGCACAGAGTTTGGTCTGGGTCAGTATGCGGGCGGCAGAGTTCTGAATGAGCTGGATCTTTTGAACAGTGCAGCTGGGGAGACTGGCGAGGTGTGCGTTTGAGTAATCCAGATGGGAGGTGACATACACATGCACGAGGGTTTCAGCTGCATTTGGGGTAAGGTACGGTCGGAGGCGGGCAATGTGGCGGAGGTGGAGGAAGGTGGTCCTGGTCAAGGACCCGTTGTGGGGGAGGAACAACAGCTGGGGGTTGAATCGGACGCCTAGATTGCGCACTAGTTCAGTGAGGCTGAGGGAAAGGCTGTGGAGGTTTAGAAGGTCAGATCCACAGGACTGAAAAAGTTGAGGGGAGCCAAGGATTATGGCTTCTGTCTTGTCCTCATTCTGCTGCAGGAAGTTTGCACTCCTCCAGGCCCTGATGTCTGCCAGACAAACTGATAGAACATTGGCAGTCCTGGAGGAGGCAAAGTAGATTTGTGTATCATCCGCATACATGTGGAAGTTTACCTCGTGTCTGTGGATGATATCACCAAGAGGGAGCATGTAGATGAAGAAAATAAGGGGGCCAAGGTTGGAGCCCTGTGGTACACCGCAGATGACCAGGTGGGGACTGGAGGAGAAACCGTTTGCGAAGATGGTGGAAGCAGTTGGTTAAAAATCTTTTGTCCCTTTGCCTTGCTCTCCCAATCTTTTAAACCCATCTTGAGATCTATCTTTTTGACTGAGCCTTTGATTATTTCTGTATTTAGAGGGAAAGTTGCAAAATCGAGTTTGCACTAATACCAATTTAGTAATTAGAAGAATTGAGGCTCACACAAAGAAACCAGAAAGAAGCAAGACTATCCAGTATTCATGTTAACTAGTGTACAATGTAGTCTCTGCTGCCCATACATGCTGACTGGTCTCCCTAACCGGTAATTCAGTCTGTTTGGAAAAACAAATAGCTCTGTCTAATGGTGGCAAAAGTCTGAGAGGGAAGAATCAACAATAAAAGCTCGCTATGATACTTACAGATACATAGAATCACCATGAAAATGATGTAAGTCACCAACTCTCGCAGCACGTTCTTCAGATATTTCTCTCTCGTGGTAGCTTGACTCTCAGTCAACCGTGTTCCCCACAAAGCTTAAAAAAGAATAAAACAATCATAAATTTTGGAAGTCCACAATTCGTCCTCTCCATTCATATTGTTAAGCCTACTGTTGGACTTTAAATTACGATGATCAATTTTTCCTCTTTGAACAGTTTGACCCATTTGGAAAGTCATCACCATGCTTAAAAGCATATAAAACAAGCAGAGTTCCACATATGCATGCCACCTATGCACAAAAATGTCTCTGAGCTGGAATGGAATGCTCACTCTCTGTCTGGAAAGTGTTGGCACAGATTGGCGAGAGCAAGGCTAGAGGACCCCAACATGTATTCCTGGAGTTTAACCAGCTAAAACTGCATAGTTTGTCACTGCAAACATTGCCTGGTTTGCTTCCCACTGCTGGTGCAGGAGGAATACCTTACTTACCTGTTAGGGCTATGGCTTGCAGGGTTAACAGCCAAGAGGAAAGAATCCTTGCCCGCTGATGAGTCAGGATATCTGGTCTTCAGCAGTGTCCTAGAATACTGTCTGAGGAACAGTACCAAGACTACCCCAAATAACTGACTTGATTCCTTGAAGCCAGTTCAGTCAAGAAAACGCTGCTTACCTCTCTCCCAAGGAGGAAAAATAAAATGCTCAACACAACACAGAGGCCAACTAACATGTAGAATATAAAATGGAGCTCATTTCTATAACTTTTAAAAGTGATATCCTTGCTCTGCAAACTAGTGAATCAACTTAAACAATAAAAACAAATTATGACAACCAGCCAAGGTAGAATATAACCACAGATATTATAAATTATATCAGTTTTCTCAATATAGCAGTTATATTGTTTTTACGGAGCCAGCTGAAAAGCAATTGTAATATGTAAGATGTGCATTACAACATTGCTGATGTTTCACTGTTTCGCTTAAATAGCCAAGCCTACCTGGGAGTGGCTGCATCAAAGTGTTAATGCTGTAATTCAGCTACAGTGCAACTGCATTTGATTCAGCATCACTGCCGAGTATGATAAAATACCTCAACATTCAGGCTGTTCAATCAAATCAACATCAAAGCCTTCAAATCAAACAGCAAAAGCAATGACAAACTTTTCAGATGAGCTCTCTAATAACTCTGAACAGTGAACGTCAGATTTGGGCCATTAGTCTAATAGACATTTTGAATGGGCATGCATGTCCAGGTTGGCACACATGTACACTGTGGTACTCCAAGGAATGCAATTAACAATCTTCATTCAAGCCAGTTCAACTAAATGTTCAATAATAGATGTCAATATTAACCCTCGTCTTCTAATTCGTTATTCAGTTATCAAGGGGATCCGTTCAGCTGCCTCCACCCTCCCAACCGCCACTCCCTCCGCATCTCCCCCCACACATCCCTCCCTCCACATTTTCGAACCTGTCTCCCCCTCCTCTCTCATCACCACCATATCCAGCACAAAACACACCACCTGCTCCCTTGACACCATCCCCACCCCTCTCCTTACCTCCCAGCTCCACCTCCTCACCCCTCTACACTCCAAAACCATCAATCTCTCCTTATCACCTGGCACCGTTCCCATCCCCCTAAAAACAGCTATAATCACCTCCATCCTGAAAACACCTTCCCTGAACCCATCCCTGCTTTCTAACTATCTGCCTTTTCTTTCCAAGGTCCTTGAAAGAGTCGTTGCTTCTCAGCTTCGCTCTTTTGTCTCCTACCACTCTCATCATGAGGCCCTCCAATCGGGCTCGCAGCACAGAAACTGCTCTGGTCAAGATTCACCTGTGACCAGGGCTCCCTCTGCCCCCTCGTCCTGCTCGACCTCTCTGCTGCCTTCGATACCGTGGACCACTCTATCCTCCTCCACCGCCTCTCCTCTCACCTCAACCTTCAAGGTTCTGTCCTCGAATGGTTCAGGTCTTATCTCTCACACCGTCTCCAATTTGTCTCCGCCAACAGTTTCTCTTCCAGCCCCCGCACAGTCTTGTGCGGTGTTCCTCAGGGCTCTGTTCTCGGTCCCCTCCTTTTCAAACCTCTACATGCTCCCCCTCGGTGACATCATCCGCAGACATAGGGTCAATTTTTACACGTACGCAGATGACACCCAACTCTATCTCTCTACCTCCACCCTTGATTCCAGGACAACTGCTGTCTTGACAGACTGTCTGTCAGACATCAAGTCCTAGATGACAGCCACCTTTCCACAGCTAAATGTCAGCAAGACCGAGGCCCCCGATTGGCTTGTGCCAGCACCTCCGCACCTCAGGCACTGGCAGCATCAGCATCCACGGATGCACTACATCTCACCAAGCAGTCAGGAAGCTTGGCGTCTTAGTGATTACTCAATTGTCCTTTCTCTCCCATATCCGTGCCATGACCCGCTCTGCCTTCCCCCACCTCCTCAACATTGCCCAACTCTGCCACTGCCTCACACCACAGGCCTCTGAAAACCTCACCCACGCATTTGTCACCTCAAGGCTTGACTACGGAAATTCCCTCCTTGTCGGCCTTCCCAACTCTTCCCTCCACAAGCTGCAGATCATCTAGAACTCTACAGCTCATGTCCTCTCCCACACCAGGCTCCGTGACCCCATCGCCCCCACCCTCGCCCGACTCCACAGGCTCCCCATCCCCAGAGGATAGAATTCAAAATCCTTGTTCTCACTTTCCAGACGGCCTTGCCACTTCCTACCTCTCTGACCTACTGACCCTGTATCAACCTTTTCACTTCCTCCGCTCAGCAGGCTCCGGCCTGCTCCATGCCTCCCATCCGACCCGCCCTACCATCGGCGGCGGGCTTTCAGCCTCTCTGCCCCACCCTTTGGAACTCCATCCCACAATCCCTTCGCCTTGCTCCCTCCCTTGCCTCCTTCAAGGCACGACTCAAGACCCTCCTATACAACCGTGTCTTCAGCCGCCCTCCTCCTATCTCGCTGCCCTTTCTCATCCCAACCCTGCCCCACCATGCTTGGATCCTGATCCCCGACTGTTTAGTGCCTTGGGACGTCCTCCCGACGTGAAAGGCACCTTTCAAACGTAATTTTGTTGTTGTGTTGTAAATTAACTTAAATAAATTGTTTTAGATGCATAAAGAACATTTCCCAATTGTGTTAATTTTTTTTGCAAGTTTGCCAAACTCTTACTTTAAAGCATATTTGTATTGTAGTAATTACTTCACACTACCTCTTTATTTGCAAAATTTCTTACTAAAAGATTTCTTGGCTGTTTTATTTCTTCCATTGGACCCTGGATCGTGTTGATGCTCAAAGTTCATCATTGAATTTATTTTGCTGTGAAACTCCCTGGATAACCTAAATCAATGACAAACAGCTGTAAATATGAAAACATTTTCAAAACATTGGATCATTTTGAATGTTAGTTAACAATAAGCAAAACAGTGTAGTTAATGCACTCCAAGCGATCATGGTCCAAAATGGGATTGTTTGGGAAGACATTAAAGCTGCAATTCCTACAAGGTAGGTTTGTGCTGCTATATAGTCTGTATCAAAGAAGGTAAAGTTTTTCTTTCATTTTCCAGCATGAATCTTGATCTGTGCTATAGGACGGGAGGGAAGAGGTAATAGTGTTGGGAGTAGAAGCCACATACATGATCCCCAATGTTTGGAAGTAAGAAAATTAAGGAAGAAAAATGGACAAGTGAACTGTGGTACATCTCCATCATCTAATTCGTATAATAATACTTGCATTTGATATAGCGCCTTCTAACATCTTCGAGACGTCTCAAAGCACTTCACAGCATATACTGTAAAGTGAATTGACTGTATTTCAAATACCAACCATCTGGATCAGTTAATGCGTTGTGGACCCCCCCCACACAGACACACATTCCAAAAACAATTCTGACACAATTCAGCAAAATACCACTCAAAAAATCACAACCTCTGGAATCCTGAATAATTAGCAATAACAATGAAACGGGAAAACTCATAGTCTATCTGGCTTCAGTTTTATATAAAGTGATCTCACACTTCTCCATCTTCAAACTGCAGAACTTGAGAAAGTCCCCAATACCATTATTTTTTCTACGTATCTGTGTAACAATTAGCTCTAAAGTGGGTTATGTTGTTAATTCCAATATCTATAGTATCTAGAGCATTTAATATCACTGCACACAGAGTGTCACTGACGACTACTGATTATTCTCTGCTGTCCTCCTACTTCAAATCCTTGCCTGAACTTTATGCTATTACCCAAAAGCCAGACTATCTGGCAAACGCGCAGGTCATTTTTTCCTCCCATTTGGCAGAGCAGCATGCATGAAAAGGAAATAACTTTCTCAGCTGCTCCGTTTTATAGGAAAAAGTACAGTCACTATTATCCCATTCGCAAATGGGTCAGTGGCACAGAATGTAAACTATTCTTTGAACTGGGCAACAATTAATCCAACAGCATAGCATGGATAATTACTTAACGTATTTTAATATCGAAAAGTTGACAGGCCACTTGGTGTAAGGAAGAGGTACACCAATGACCTCAACTTGGATATGGGGGTATTTTAACAAAGTCTGCAGATGATAAGCAAGGAAGTATTGTGAACAGTGATGAGCATGGCAAGAGATTCCAAGAGGATTTAAACAGATTAGCGCAATGGGCGGATCGTTGGCATATGAAGTTCAATGAAGGAAACTTGAAGCGATTCATTTTGGTAAAAAAAGTGAGGGAAATATACATGGCAGGTACTTGCAAGGAGATGGAGAACAAAGGGCTTTGGTAGTGCAGGTACATAAGACACTGAAAGTAACACTGCAGCGACAAAGGTTGTAAAGAAGGCTAATAACATCCTAGGTTTTATTGACAGCATCATAGAGTACAAAAGTAAAGGAATAATCCTAAACTTGTATAAATCATTGGTTCGCAGCTGGAGCAGTGCATCAAATCCTGAGCACCTCACTTCAGGAAAGATGTTAGGGGGTGGAGAGGGTGCAGAGGAGCTTTACCAAGAATAATTCCAGGAATAAAGGGATAGTTACGAAAAGAGATTGGAGAACCTGTTTTCATTCGAGCAGAGAAGGTTTAGGGGGAACCTTATAGAGGTGCACAAAATCATGAGGGTAAATAGAGAGAAGTTATTTCCATTGATAGGGGAGTCAGCAACTATGGGACAGAGTTAAAAGACAGCCACAAGAGTGAAAAGAACCTAGGAGAAATTGTCTTCCCCAATGAGTAGTTGGTGTATGAGATGCCCTACCAAGATGGGTAGTAGAGGTGTACCTTTCAAGAGGGAAGTAGCCAGGCATATGAAAGACAGGGGCTTGAAGAGAATATGCCAGACGGTGGGATTGAAGCGATATCCTTGTTCTGTAAGGTGGTGCAGGCTTGATGTGCTGAATGGCCTCCTTCTGCACTGAACATTTCTATGTTACTCCGCATTCCATATTTGCAATCCCATTACATCGGGGAAAAAGTTTGGAAAACATTGCTTTCTGTGTTTTTCACACATTCTCATTAATAAAAGAAAGAGACACACACAGACACAGTCAAAGAGAGGGGAGAATGTGCCCCGAATGGCTGTAATTTTTTTCAGGCTCTGAAGAAGAAAAGTAACGATATGCTAGGAAAGCAAAAAGATTGTTGGTACAACTTTCCATTTGACAATGCAGTCTAACCCCCAGCACTACGTTAGAGTGTCAGCCTGGACTACAGACGTTCAAAGGTCTAATGTGGGCTTCATGCCGGCGCCAACTCTTTGAAAGAGTTATCCAACTAGTCCCACTCCCCCACTAGTTAAATTGAGGCACTTGTGTGAGAATACCATACGGATGTTAAAATCCACGATACCTACAATACCTGAGCAGCAAAATGTCACTCACTACCTCTAAGCAAACTATAAGTAACATCTTCACAGATCCAAACTCTACATGAAACTGGGATTTCTATTTTAAATGTGAAGGCAATCAATAATGAGATCCTTTTAATTTGAGGGGCATTTTAAACAGAATGGACATTTTTTTCTATAAGAATTAATCTCAGCTCCTTCAGATGAGACCCAAAAGCCATAGCAAACTATGCACATTGCAAAAATACAACCAAAGCTACCAAATGCAAGTCTTCCTTCAATCAAATTTCTATCTCCAAAACGATTGCACTAGAAAAAACTATTCTGATAATTTCAAAGTTGAATTTCAGCAATCTTTAGCGGTATATCCATAACATTAGCGATTTTATACTGTTGTTCATTGGTGAACTTTGCTTTTAGTTAATGGTTCCTCAGACTACCTTGGTGATGTGCTATCAATGGCTCCTCAGGCGATCCGCAAGTGCTTTACTCATATATGTTTTAAGACATACTCCATTACTTATTTGATACAAGCTCCACAAACAGTCATGAAGGGAATGACCAACATTATTTGGGCCGATTGATGGCCAGCAGACCAAGAGAAACTCCCTTGCTTTTCAAGTAGTGCAGTGGCTCTTTAAAGTCCACCAGAACAAGGACCTCAGTTTAAAGTCTCATCCGAAGGACAGCACATGGGATAGTGCAGCACACGGCCCAGTAACCGCACTGGTGTCGGACAGACCGCACGGTATGAGTTACAGAGGACAGACAACATGCTGTGTGTGTGTGTGCCGCTTCTCTCTGAGGCTGCAGTGCTTTAAAATATACCCTCTTCCCGTCACATCTGCAGTTTAATCAGAAACACTGGCAATGTGAGGACGAGGGAAAAACAAACCTTTGCGGCCCGTCCGAAATGCATCAAATCTGGAGTGAGCAGTCGCTGGGACCGCAGAGGGCAAAAATGTATAACCCGGACAGGACCCCCCGGGGCTCTCACCTCGGATTTTCTGCAGGACCTTCCCGGCACAGCCCGGCCTCCTGGCCTGGAGCTCCCGGGTGGGGGTGGGACACGGGCCCCTGTTCCTGCCATTGCCGCGGGGATTGTACCCCGGAGCCCCGCCGCTGCCGCCGCCGCCGCTGGTGCCGCTGCCGGCGCTGGACGCTGACCTCCTCCCGGGGCTCGAAGGGGGCGCCGCCCCGGCCGCTTCTGCCCACTCCAGCTCCATGTCCAGCTCCTCGTCCCCGGGCTCGTAGCCGGGGTTGGCCCGGCTCCAGGCCTGGCGGGACGAGGCTGCGGACGAGGTGGAAGAGGAGGAGGCGCCGCTGCCGCGAGCCCGGCGGCCGGCTCCCCGGGCCTGGTGCCGGCCGTCCCCCGAGCCCCGCACCTTGCCCATCTCCAGCTGCTCCTCCTGCTGCTGCTGCTGCTGCCCCTGCAGGCGGGAGGCGGCCGGGGTGAGCCTGCCCGGGAGCGGCGGCGGCGGCTGAGGCCTGACCCGGGAGCTCATCATCATCATCCTCTCTCCCGCGTCTCCTTGGCAACGGGCAGCGCCGGGCCCGGCAGTCCCGTCAGTCAGTCAGTGTGAGAGGGAGACAGGAGCGGCCGCCCCGCCCCGCCCCGCCCGCCGTAAACACTCCTCGCCCCCACTAGGGGTGCGCCACCGCTAGTGCTGCGGACGCCCCGCTCCACGTCCCCTGGCCAGCGGCCGGCATTGCTGACTGAGGGCCAGCGACTGCCGTCTGCACAGCCGCGTGCGGTAAACAGGCGTCGCGCTCCACCCAGGCTGCGTCGCCACGGTGACTGGGCTGACGGGTGAAGTTGAGTGATTGACATGCGCCCTGTCTAATGGCTGCTCTCCGCCCACGCGGCAGGGCGGGGCTGCCCGGCGGCCCCGGACCAATCGGCTAACCGAAGCTTGTGAAGGGCGGGGCATTCCCGCTGGTCCCGCCCACCGGGGCTCGCTGCTGTGACAACGGTTTGATGGACGTCAAGTGACACCCAACCACCGCGTCTGCGCTCTGTGGGGGCGGGGCCTGCGAATGGAATGTGGGGGCAAGTTGGTTGTCCAATGGTGGTGAAGCATTGGAGCGGGGAGGGCGGGGCGTGGGCTCCTGCCTTTGGGTGGGGAAGAAAAGCACTTAGTGTACACACTGTGTCTGGTCACAGTTACAGAGCAACAGTTACCCTGAGAGTATCAGTGATAGGGCAACTATTAGAGCAACGGTAAAACAACCACAACAACAATTTGCATTTATATAGCGTCCCAATGCACTTGACAGTGGCGGAGCACGATGCCGAGCCAAGGGCAGGGCGGAGGTGACCGTAGGCACGGTCGAAGAGGGACGTCTTCGGTTGGGGACCCAAGATGGGGAAGGAGGGTGTAAGGTGGAGGGGTAGAGGGAGGGTGTTTATTTCAGAGTTTTAGGTCGTAGTGGCTGAAAGCGCGACCACCAATGGTGCAACGGAGGGCACGAGGGACAAGCAGGAGGCCGGAGCCAGGCCAGAAGAGGCGATAGGTAGTGGAGTGGGGAGTAAGCAGGTCGGAGAGGTAAGGAGATGCCACGGTATGAAGGGATTTGAAAACAAGTGAGGATCTTGAAATCGATCCATTCAATGAGTGGAGCCTGTCGAGAACTAGAGTGATGGGGATACAGAGTTTAGTGTGGGTGAATATGAGGGCGGCGGAGTTTTAGATTAACTAAATTTTGTGGATACTGGAGCTAGGGAGACGGGCAAAGAGGGCATTTGAGTGAAAATGATAGAGCAATCGTTACTATGTCAGAGTGGCAGTGTTAAGAGTAACAGTGGTAGAGTAACAGTGATAAATAACAGTTATGAAGCTATAGTCCTTTTGAGTGTATAAGTGACAGTAAGAGTAATAAGGCAATAGTGATAGAGTAACAGTTGCTGTTTTGAGTATTATTTATTATTATTGAGTATCAGTGACAGTAACAGTTGCTGTTCGAGTAACCGTGACTGTAAAAGTGATCAAGCAGCAATGATAGAGTAACAGTGACAGAGCAACAGTTGTGTTAACAACAACAACAAGATTCCATTTATAGAGCGCCTTTCACGTCGGGAGGACGTCCCAAAGCGCTGTACAGTTGGGTCAGGACCCGAGCAAGGGGAAATGGTGAGGGGAGGGAAGGGAGGGAGCGAGGAGGGGGAAATGGTGGGAAATGGTCAGGGTGAGGGGAGGGATGGGAGGGAGCGAGGAGGGGTAGAGAGTCGAGAGGGGAGCTGAAGGCACGGTCAAAGAGAAAGGTCTTGAGACCGGCCTTGAAGGAGGAAAGGGAGGAGGCGGCGAAGGCACTGGGGGATGGAGTTCCAGAGCCTCGGGGCTGAGAGGCTGAAGGCCCGACCACCGATGGTAGGGCGGTTGGGGCGGGGGATGTGGAGCAGACCGGAGCCAGAGGAACGGAGGGTACGGGCAGGTAGGTAGGGGGATAGTAGGTCGGAGAGGTAGGAGGGAGCAAAGCCGTGAATGGCCTTGTGGGCGAGGATGAGGATCTTGAATTCGAAGATTAAGAGTATCAGTGTTGGTGTTAGAGTCAAGGGTTAGACCAACAATTACTATTAGAGTATCAGTGAAAGTGTTAGAGTAAGAGTGACAATGTTAGAGTAACAGTGATAGAGTAATAGTTACTGTATAAGAGAATCAGTGACAGTGTTAGAGTAAGAGTGGTGGCGTTAGAGTAAGAATGATAGTGTTAGAGCAACAGTGCCAGTGTTAGAGTAACATTGACAGTGTGATGAAGGTTCAGAACAGGAACGTTTTAATCTTCTTTTAATGTATTTCATATGTTGATAGATATATTGTGCATTTCCAACATATTTATTTTTTCTTGCCGAATCCCCCTGCTTTCACAGTTTCATTTTAACCGAACAAAAAGAGTAACAGTCCGCAATCAGGGGAGGGGGTGAGAACAGTGAATGACATTTCTGATGGCATTTTACAAAGCTGCCAACTCATTCGTATAGCAAATTCAGGCTGTCCTACAGCAGATTGGTAGAGAATTGAGACCACTATTTTAACTAGTCATTAATTCTAAATTTCGGCTGCAAAGAAATATTCTGGAATACTAATCAAGAAAGAACTGATTTACCAGTTAAAATGCCTTTCAGATGAATAGTATTTTTTTCTCCATTTGGTTGCCAATAAATCCTGCCAAAAAAGGAGTTGTTTTCCATTTGATGGTACTTTAGCCAACATTGCATGAATATTGGTCCTTGTAAATTTACTGACCTTGGCCTTATGCACTTAAATTGGCTTTTACTGTAAAATCACATTTCCAAGGCAAATAAATTTACCAGAATAGTTAATCTTTCTTTAGCTGCATAGCTTACTAAAAACAAATTATTCAATTGGAAATATGTGCAGCATTTTTTAAATCTTGATTACTCATTCAGGTTGACTGTTTGACTGTTCCCCAGTTGCTGCAGTCTCCCATAAGTCCAGGCTTTTCCAAGACAAATGTCCTCATCTGTCCCATTAACTCCAAACCCTGAGAAAAGTTAGTGAGCTCATAGTTAAGGTTCAGATTCTTCTAGTTCCTCTGGTTCTGTTTTCTCTCGATCTGTTTTTCCAGCCTTGAACTGCTGCGCTACACTATCGCTGGGAAGGCCAACCTGTCGGACTCTGTGGCTGGGCTGTCTTATCCATTCCCACCACTATTATCCTGGCCTCCAACTGCTGAAGTTTTGTGAGCCAGGACAAATTTCACATACACATTCATCCATGTTGAAGACGTCTTCCCAACATGAAAGGCACTACACAAATGTAATTTTGCTGTTGTTGTTGTTGAAAATGACCCTGGCCTGTTAGCCAGCAATGATTCCACACAGCTTCTCCTTCTACTCTTCCACTACAACAGCAACAACTTGCACTTATATAGCGCCCTCCACACAGGATAGCATCTCAGAGCACTTAACAGTGACAGAGCCTGACTCCAAGCCGAGGGGGTTGGGGGGAAATGAGCATGATCGAAAAGGAAGGTTTTCAGACGGGACTTGATAAAGGGGAGAGAGGGGGCAAGGCGGAGGGATTGAGGGAGAGTGTTCCAGAGTTTTGGGGTGTAGTGGCTGAAAGCACGACCTTCAATGGTGGGGCGGAGGGTGCGAGGGGCGAGCAGGAGGCCGGTGCCAGTCAAGCAGAAGCGCCAGGTGGTAGATTGGGGAGTGAGGAGGTCGGAGATGTAGGGAGGTGCCAGGGAGTGAATGGATTTGAACACGAGTGTGAGGATCTTGAAGTCGATCTGTTTGATGATGGGGAGCCAGTGAAGCCTGTCCAGAACTGGTGAGATGTGGGTACGGAGTTTGGTCCGGGTCAGTATGCAGGCGGCAGAGTTCTGAATGAGCTGGAGTTTTTGAATAGTGGAGCTGGGGAGACCGGTGATGAGAGCGTTGAATAATCCAGGCGGGAGGTGATAAGCACATGCATGAAGGTTTCGGCTGCATTTGGGGTAAGGTACGGTCGGAGACGGACAATGTGGCAGAGGTGGAGGAAAGCAGTCCTGGTTAGGTACTGGATATGGGGGAGGAAGGACAGCTGGAGTTCGAACCAGACGCCTAGATTGTGCACTGGTTCCCTGAGTTTGACGGAGAGCCCAGGGAGGTGAGGAGTTCAGATCCTCAGGAGTGAAGATGTTGACGAGAGCCAAAGAGTATGGCTTCCATCTTGTCCACATTCAGCTGCAGGAAGTTTACACTCATCCAGGCCCTGATGTCTGCCAGACAAGCTGATAGAACGGACCTGGAGTTGGTACTGGAGGAGGCAAAGCAGATTTGTGTATCATCTGCATAAGTGTGGAAATTTACCCCATGTCTGTGGATGACATCGCCCAGAGGGAGCAAATAGATGAGGAAAAGAAGAAGGCCAAGGATGGAGCCCTGGGGTACCCAATAGGTGACAGTCAGGGCGTGGAGGAGAAACCATTTGTTGAGATGAAGTGGAGGCGGTTGGTTAAGTAGGACTCAAACCATGCGAGCATGGTCCCACTAAGGTGGATTAGGGAAGAGAGGCGGTGGAGGACGATGGCGTGGTCAACTGTGTTGAATGCGGCAGAGAGATCCAGGATGAGGAGACAGAGGGATCCCTGGTCACAGATAAAGCATGTTGTTTGTGACTTTGACAAGCACTGTTTCTGTGCTAGGGAAGATCGAAAACCAGACTGCAGGGACTCAAGGAGGGAGTGGAGGGAGAGGTGTGACCGAAGTTGATCTGCAACAATGCGTTCCAGGATTTTGGCAAGGAAGGGTAGGTTGGAAATGGAATGGTAGTGTGAAAGATTAGAGGGATTGAGGGTGGGTTTTTTGAGGAGGGATAACAGCGGTTTTTCAGATGGTGAGGAGCAGAACCTGAGGATTGAGACTGGTTTTCAATCTTTGAGGTGAAGAAGTCTAGTACTACAGTGCCATCTAGTCACCCTTTCTCCCTTGATGTTGTCCCTTGAATCTCCACAGCCAATCAGTGGATGCCTTGAAGTCAGACTTGTTGAGTTGTTGAGCAATAGAATCATTTCAATGACAACAAATCCATGTCATGTAGCAGTATCCATGGCAGTACTATCCTGGTAGAAAACTCATTCTCTTCATGGCCTGCAAATATATTCTTTACAATACTAGCAACCTGCATCCTGCCAAATCCATAGAGCTCTACAAATATGTGCTGCGATTTCCCCTCACTGCTCTCAATTAACTTAACAATCTGTTTCAGACTGAGCTTATTGCGGTTAATGGCTGCAGATCTAGATTTTGGAGGCATGATTTCAGATTAAGTTGTTGTACCTGTACTACAGATTTTCACATGCAAGTCAAGAACAATACATCAGTAGTTTCAAAACAGAATTGGGTCATTCTCTATTTCTCCTTTGCTCTTGAAGAAAATACTCTTTGGCTTTATTGAACTCTCTAGGGTATCATGGAATTTACAATTGCATATTCCTCAATTGTAATAGTATAATATGCTCCCCCCACCCCGCACCCCCACCCCCGATATTGATTTACCAAGCAGCAGTTGTAATCTTTCACTGTCCTCTAAAAATCTTTCAGAAGATCTTTATTTGATCATAACTTTGTTCCAGTGAAAATTCAGAACTTGTGTCACTAGGAAAGTGTCAATGTGAAATCAGTACATTGGTTTAGTTTATAATCAAGGTAAACTTTCTTCAATTTTCTTTAATTTACTTTAATTACTTAAAGAGGCAAGAAAAATTGAGTGAAGTACTTTTACTCAACTTACTCAACAATAACATGCATTTATATAGCGTTCTTCATGTAGGATAATGCCTCGAAACACTTCACAAGAATGGGGTCAGATGCCAAGCAAAGGAAAGGGGGAGGAGGACAGAAGAAAGGTGGGAATGGGGAGATGATCCTGATGATTGTAGGTACATTGAAGAGGTAGTTTTTTAGGCAGGATTTAAAGACAAAGAGGTAGATGAGACAGAGGAGTAGAGGTTTACTCTCTTATTATAAAGTAAAATAAAAGACTCAGAATAATTTTGTTGAATTTTTAGTGAAACTGAATTATCTTACTGCTTCAGGTTG